AGTAATTAAAGATCACATTTTGCTCTTGGTTACACTTGAAAATAAGTGTCACTTCATAGGAGAATTTGATTTTAAAGAAAAATTTGATCTTAGAAACTACAGTTATTGACATCAGTATTATTCAGCAGAAAATTCCATTCATCATGGAACGTCTTAGGTTGTAATATTTAACACAACTGTTTTATAAAACTGTCTTGTTCTCCTGTCATTCTTCCACCAGCATTACCATAAACTGATAATAACAAAGCATGCTGAACTGGAGCTGGCAAAGCAGGAAAACAATGCATTTTCTTAGTTAATCTACTGAATAGAGGGAACCTGAGCATTAAATCCCACTGTTGTTATTTGCTAAATCTACCATAAAGGCTAAGCTGCACTTTAGTTTTGGACAACCTCATTGAACAGTGCAAGGGCCAAGAGATCCCATGCAGTAAGAACTATCAGCAGGTGTTCGCTAATAGACGGAAGAGTCAAAAAAAGATTTTGTCATTTCAGCAATGCAGCTGCATAAAAGGCTCACATTGGATTGAGATACTAAGTTTGTACTTCCCCTGTATTTTTCCCTGCCGTACATTTAAAGAAAATAGACAGAAATTATTTAAAAATTAAATATAAAGCAAAGCCAAGAAAAACATTGAAGTTTCCACATTTATTAAAAAATCTAACCTCAGCCTTGGATGATCTAAAGCTTTATTACCCTGGACCAAGTTCAAAACAGTCTAGAGCAAAATTAGAGTCCAGATGGTGGCTTGTCTACTGCACCTACATGGGGGAGAGAGGGAGCGGAAAGCACTCCACCAGGAGCTACACAGGCTGCGGGGTAGATGAAGCTTCTGCAAAGCCACTGCGCCCGTCCTGCATTGGTGAGGGTATGGGTGTGCAGGGATGGGTGGCGAGCACTGCATTCACTTCTCTCCCCAGAGTGAGGGCCACGCTTGCTGTATTATACAACTGAGGTGAAGCTTGGAGGCTAACGACAGGGTGTGTGCATTCTCATCATGGTCATAGTTTCATAGTTTTAGGGTCGGAAGGGCCTAATAGATCTTCTAGCCCGCCCCCCCGCCAGGGCGGGAGAACAACAAAAGAACCCTAAACAAAAAACGGGACTCAAATGAGTCCAGCCAGGTAGGTATCCAGCCTCTTCTTAAAGATCCCCAGGGTAGGGGCCAGCACCACCTCCCTTGGAAGTTGGTTCCAGCTCCTAGCCGCCCTGACTGTGAAGTAGTTTTTTCGGATGTCCAATCTGTACCTCCTCTCCATCAACTTGTGCCCATTACTCCTTGTTATGCCAGCGGGGGCTAGGGGAAACAGCGTCTCCCCCAAACCCTTCTGGTTCCCCCTAGTGAGTTTATAGATGGTCACCAGGTCCCCCCTCAGCCTTCTCTTGTGGAGGCTGAATAGGTTCAGGTCCCGCAGTCTCTCACTGTAGGGTCTGCCCTGTTGTCCCCGGATCATGCGGGTGGCCCTCCTCTGGACCCTCTCCATGTTGTCCACATCCCTCCTGAAATGGGGCGCACAGAACTGGACACAATACTCCAGCTGCGGCCTGACCAGCGTCGCATAGAGGGGGAGGATCACCTCCCTGGCTCTACTCGAGATGCACCTGTGGATGCACGACAAGGTCCGGTTAGCCCTGCCAACCATGACCTCGCATTGTCGGCCCATGTTCATCTTGGAGTCAATAATGACACCAAGATCCCTTTCCGCCTCCGTGCTCTCAAGTAGGGAGTTCCCCATCGTATAAGTGTGCTGCTGGTTCCTACTACCCAAGTGCAGCACCCTGCACTTGTCCGTATTGAAACACATCCTGTTCCTGTTTGCCCACCCCTGTAACCTATCCAGATCCTTCTGCAATCTCTCTCTCCCTGCTAGCGTGCTCACCTCCCCCCAAATTTTGGTGTCATCAGCGAATTTAAACAGGTTGCTTTCCACCCCAACATCAAGATCGCTGATGAAGAAATTGAACAGCGCAGGCCCCAGGACCGAGCCCTGGGGGACTCCACTACCCACCTCCCCCCAAGTCGAGTATGATCCATCCACCACCACCCTCTGAGTGCGACCCTTCAGCCAATCTGCAATCCATCTGACCGTGTAGGCATCTATGCCACAGTCGCCTAGTTTATTAATTAGGATGGGGTGAGAGACGGTGTCAAAGGCCTTGCTGAAGTCCAGAAAGACTACATCCACCGCGACACCTGCGTCCATGGCCTTTGTGACCTGATCATAAAAGGCAATCAGGTTGGTCTGACATGATCTCCCCCTAATAAATCCATGCTGATTGCCCCTGAGCATCATCTCGGATGCCGGCCCATCACAAATGTGCTCCTTGATGATCTTCTCAAAGAGCTTCCCCAGGATTGAGGTAAGACTGACGGGCCTATAATTGCCCGGGTCCTCCCTTTTCCCTTTTTTGAAGATGGGGACCACATTAGCTACCTTCCAATCGTCTGGCACCTGGCCCAAGCACCACGATCGCTCGTAGAGCCGTGCCAGGGGCCCTGCAATAACCCCAGCCAGCTCCCTCAGCACCCTGGGGTGGAGAGCATCCGGACCCGCTGACTTGAACGCGTCCAGCCCCTCCAGAAGCTCTCTAACCCGGTCCTCCCCAACCTGAGGTCTGAAGGCGATCCCCTCGCGTCCGGCTTCTATCACAGCAGGGAAGTCCCGGTCCCTGCACAAGAAAACGGAGGTGAAGAATTGGTTAAAGAGGTCCGCTTTATCCTCTGACGCAACCACCAGATTGCCCCGCATATCCTGCAGGGGCCCCACATTACCCGGCGCCTTCTTCATCCTCCCAATATATTTGAAAAAGGACTTTTTGTTATCCTTAATCCTGGACGCTAATCCGAGCTCTATCTCCGCCTTGGCCTTCCTAACAGCCCGCCTGCAGGCCCGAGCAGAGGAGGTATACTCCTCTTTGGAGATTACACCCCCCTTCCACCGGGCGTACGCCACCCTTTTGGCAAGCAGGCATTCCCGGACACCCTTGGTGAGCCAGGGGGGCTTTTGGACACTCCTGCCCGCCTTGCTTCTTGTCGGGATGGACACCCCTTGGGCCCCGAGTATCGTTTCCTTAAGGAACGACCACTCCTCTTGGACGCTGAGTTCCTCTGCCCTCAAGGACCCCAGTTCCTCTCCCACTAATCTCCTCATCTCACTGAAGTTGGCCCTCCTGAAGTCTAGGGCCACCACCTTGCTGCGGGCCCTTGACACTCTACGCTGGATGGTGAATTCCAGCACGCGATGATCACTATTGCCCAGGTGGTCAAGAACCTGGAGGCCTCTTACCAGGTCGTCGCCTGCGGCCAGGACCAGGTCCAGCAGAGCATCTCCTCTGGTGGGACTGTGCACCTCCTGAATCAAGTGGAGGTCCTGCAACTCGGCCAAGAACCTCCTGGAGCGGTCCGTCCCGGCTGACTGCTCCTCCCAGCAGATGTCCGGGTAATTAAAATCGCCCATGACAACTACATCCCTTGCTTTTAGTGTCTCCGCAAGCTGGCCTGAAAATTCCCTGTCCAGGTCCTCCTCTTGATTGGGGGGTCTGTAATAGACTCCCACCGTCAAATCCCTCTTGCCTTGCCCCCCCTGGATCTTGACCCAGAGCACTTCAGCTTGCCCTTCCCCTGACCCCATTCTGCTGGCAGAGGATGTGTAGTGCTCCTTGACATAGAGTGCCACCCCCCCCCCTTTTCTGCCTTCTCTATCCCGCCTGTACAGCCTATAGCCCCTAATGTTAACTGCCCAGTCATGGGACGAGTCCCACCACGTCTCTGTTCTGGTCAAGGAATATCTCCTGTTACTATCCATTTATTTTTTCACAAAAGTAATAACAAGCTGTTGAGGGCATGTAACTCATCCGGAACCAAGCATTTCACTGCATATTAGCAGGGATCATAAATCAATACTATCTGCATCTCTCTCAGGTACTTATGGCTCCTATTACTTATTATTGACATTACTATCACACTTAGGATCCCTAGTCATGGACCAAATGTCCATTGTGCCAGACACTGAACAACAGAGAACAAAATGGTGTTCCCTGCCCCAAGGGCAGTGGCCAATAAAGCATGAAAGTGCTTGTTTGAAAGTCTAACAAGTGAACCATGGAGGCTAGCAAAATGGGCTGATCTGAGGCAGGAGTCAACTTCTCAATGTTGAATGAGATCTGATGGGTAGGGTAGGACAAGCACCTTAGATGTGATGAAGGAAGCCAGTGGTTGGATGGAAAGAGGCAGACATGGTCAAAGTGATGGCCTAGCAGAACGATCGCTGCAGCTGCATTCTAAATGCTGGAGAAAAGGATGGTGCAATAACCTAAACTAATCTAACTAAATGCTGAGATGCATTTTTGCTTTGTAAATGGCTAGAAAAAAGCTGTATTTTAGAGATGTTATGCAAAAGGAATCTGCAAGATTCAAATTTATTCTAGATTTAAATGTAATCTACCTTGATATGGGAACCAGGCAAAAAACACAGTAGGTTATTCGTCAAAGTGATTCTTGTCTACAGTGATCAATCGATGGTGTGAGAAATGTGTCTGGTAAGCTCATTCCAGTTCTCACTGAGTTGGAAATCCACCAGACATATTTACAACTAACTGGGTGTGTCTAGTTGAGACGCTTACTGCCCATTGGACTGATTCTACTGCGCATTAGCATGGCTGGCAGAAACTATGCTAATGCGCAATAGATTAGTCCCATGGGCCTTTAATGTTGTTGTGCTGCTGTCTGCCCTGCCATTCTCCCCAATCCTCAGTGGCTAAACTACATGTGGGCCATTAAGTCTGGTACTTCTTTCAAGCTACCAGAATCTGGTCTCTTAGCTCAGGCAGCAGGGGCATGTGCTTTCAGACCCAAGTTCAGTCTCCTAGACTTTCCTAGCAGGATCTATACAGGATTGTTGTGTAGAGGCAGAGAAATGAGAATGTCAGAAATGAGGTTTTGTACTGCACTCATTGTACGTGAAAGATACTGTATGTTTTGTGTCTTTTTTTTCTACAGCTTAATGTCTGGACTAGCAGCCCTGGATGCAAAGACCTCTAGTCGATTAGGGATCATAACCGTCACTTATTATCTGTGGACAACATTTGTGGCTGTGATTGTGGGAATAATTATGGTCTCCATCATCCATCCTGGTGGGGCAGCACAGAAGCAGAACATTGAAGAGAGTGGAAAGCCAATTATGAGCTCTGCAGATGCCTTGCTAGACTTAATTCGGTAACTACATTCATTCTTACTGCTTTCTGAAGGTAACATTTTGCACTTTACATATCTACATGAGGAATTATGGTTTAAGGATATGTTTTGAAGTCTGTGATGATCCTTTTGGGGAATACAGAAAAAAACCTTGATTTAAAGCGGATGTCTCAAAATAAGATTCTAAATGTAAATAAGGAGCTTTTATTCCTCTTTTTGCATGGTATTAGTACAAGGACACACCCACTGTAACTGGTAGGCTACGAACATTAAAACAAAAAAAGGAAGTATTTTTTCCAGAGTTTGTAATTAGTTAGTTGAATTCACTGCCATGGGACATTCATGAGGCCAAAAACTTAGAAGGAATTTTTTTAAAGGGATTTTAGAACATTTATTTGGAAAACAAGAAGAGCTGCAATGACGTTAGCCAGGATACCAATGTTTTATTAGATACAAACCTCCATATTTCAGGGTTGTACCTCTGATTCTCAGAGACAACAATTACTAATGGCCACTGTCAGAGAGAGGAAATGGTCCTTAGGAAACACCCCTATAGTCATAGGTAGCAGTTGTTCTGATTTTCTTCCATACCAGAATTAATAAGCAGAGCTGTGTGCGCTTTACTGGCCTCTATCGGAGTGTCCCACTCAAAATCAACATTTGGTGGATAGCACAGACAAGTTAGTTTCATTGGGTAGGACAGAAGTGTGCCGCAGCTTCAGATATTCTGATAGAAAGACCACATGTTGTTTCATTTGATATCCAGATAACCTGGAAAACTCATACCATGCCACTGTGCCAGAGGGTCCAGCATGAGCATGTGGGCAATGGAAGGAAGGCCACTCTGGAGATTAACACATTAAATTTTGAAAATGTCTCTCTCTCAAAGACAGAGGGGCTGACCCCACAAGCTCTCAGTACTCCGATCTGTTATTGGTTTCATTGGGACCTCTGTGCACCGTGTGCTGGGAGAACAGGGCCCTAAGTTTGCCTCTCTTCCTCCTCCTGGTTGCAGCTAGCTGATTGTCTGAAACTTACTTTCCTATTTGTGTGTCTCTGCATTTTTACTATATTATTATGCTTTAGATGGCCCCATGATGGATCGGCTTGCCTGTTCCCCAGTCAGGGGGTAGTACTACTCAATTTGACCAAAAGAGAGCAAAGGGAAGAAAAACTGTATGTCCCACCGGCATATATCACCTTCTACTCTCTTCAGGAGGAAGAAGGGACATGCTATTGCTTACAGGAATGTTTGGATTTAGCAAGACAGGGCATGGCCTGCCAGAAAGAAATATGTTCCCCAAAACCTATACACCCAAAAGAACAAGCCAAGGCCACCCCAAGGAGTCTTAACTTTCATCCTTTCCTGCACAAAGGACTGCCAGAGACGCTGGTATTGATTTGGGGTCATGGTTCCTTGAGGAGCTCTGAATACCTAGAGGAGGAGTCAATAACTCATGTAATATTATACACTTGTGGTAGGGATGTCACCTCCGTAAGGCTGTCTACATGGCACAATGCAGGGCTGTGCAGAGGCACCCAAGGGAGCATAGCTACTGAAAGCAGTGTAGCTGTTACAGGGGCAAGCCACACAAGCTAAATTAGCCTCTGAAAATCTAACTAGTCCAACTAGGACACTCAATAAATGCAAGCTGTACTGCCTCAGGAATGTGAACTTGCTTGCTCAGATTTACCTCATGTGTCGTATCTATTCATATACCACACGCACCCTTTCCCCCAAAATCAGCCTTCCAAAACTGGAGTGTGTGTCTTTAGTGGGGAAGCTCATTTTTTGTTGCTGGAATAGAAGCATGCAGACACTGCACTAAAATGGCTGCCACTTCTCCCTGAGTCAGCAAGCAGCAGAGGCAGAACCCTGGGGTAACACCCTCGTAGCTCCTGGTGAGCCAGTAGCTTTTGGTTAAAGAGCCATTAAGCTGCCCGAGGGGTAAATGAGCTGTTGCACAATAGGCTCTGGTCTTTCCTGTATTGCAGGTTGACCAAAACTGAGACTGAGCCATTGAGGCTAAAAGTCTTTGCCCCTAATGACTCTGAAGTGCTTGATGACAGGGAACCATCTAAAATTATTACCTTCCTGCATGCACGGGTTACACAAATGTCTTCATAGAGACACAGACAAGGTTCTTTGGGTAAATCCAATATCTTTTATTAGACCAACTCAAATAGTTGGAAAAATTCTTCTTTGCAAGCTTTCAGGTACAAATACCCTTTGTCAGGCTGAGGAAGCATCTGCAGTTGGTCTGTGCTCCAACTATATGAGTTGATCTAATAAAAGATATCGGATTTACCTAAAGAACCTTGTCTGCCTATGTCCTTCAACCAACATGGCTACAGCCTATACCCCTTCATACAGAAACAGCATTCAGAAAACCAGGACACTGCAGAGTCATAACACATTATTATAGAGCTCCTTACTAGCAGCAAAACCTTTAGTTGGTGCAGCTGCTGCTGTGCAGATCTGACTCTGGAGTTATGGCAGGAACAGGTTGTTAAATCCCAATGTACCGTTCTTACAGCTACTTTTTAGATGAGAACGACCTTTTTAGAAATCTGATTTTCATTCTCTGCTTTCTGTATCTCCACCCCAAATATAATCCCATTTATTAACAGGAAGATGAGTAATAAAAAAATGGCAGAGACTTGGTCTTCCTGTTTGCTACATGCTATGGGTGAAATTCTGCTTCTATTGAAGTTGGTTGCAAACTCCTGTGTGTCTGGGAGGAAATCTGGATTAAATGTGATGATGTATCTGCTGGTTTGAGCTAGAAAAGCTTATCCTTTAGCTCAATGGTAAATCTCACCCATTCACAGCTGGAAACCATTTTTGTAGTCCCAGATAGGTTTATCTTCTGAATTCAATAATTTCCTCTCAATTTATCAGTTGCATGTGTGCACAGAAGGTCCCACAGGAAACATCTGGTATTCTGTGAATAAGAAATGTTAGATGAATAAATAGTGGAGCTAATCTGTGACAGAATTGTGGGTTTGATGTTGGTCTGGTGAGACACCAACATGTCCTGATTGACTGGACTGGAGCCACTTCAGAACAAGACAGAATGACATTGTTATTACACCACAGTGTCGTGATATATTGGGGGCAGCATTGTGTATTTTTAGCAGAGACTTAATCTTCAAGCCAAGGGCTATAATTTAAAACTAGTTCTGTTCAAATATCTGACATACTTACTGAATTATTAGTGAATATAATCAGCAGTTTCTGCACATTCTTAGGGATATTGTAGACTGTGAATTCTCATTTCTCATGTGTCTACTCTGTATACACAATTTTATTTTAGGTCATGCTGTTCTTCTTTGTCAGTAATATATCACACATATATATGCCTGGTCTTTTAACAAATAATGCACAGGCTCAGGAACAATTATGGCCTACAAGTGAAGTTCACAGTTCAACTGTGACATCCTGAATATACATGGCTTCAAGATTTTTGTAGATGGTGTTTGCCCATTGTACTTGGCAGCTACGTATACAAGCCCTCAAACTCATGCATGGCATCATTATAATATAATAAAGATGTCATACTGAGATATTCATAACTGTCAGCAAATCTCAACTCAGTCAGAACATACCGATTTACCATGATGCTAACTCATGTTCTTAACATCAGACTCACAATGGGGCCATTTTTGCCCATATCATCTCCACTAAAGAGAAATGTTACATAATTAAAGTTTGAGTTGGACTTACTTTACAGTATGTTTTAAAAGTGCTCTTGAGAGGTACCAAGAAATTGCACTGTGATCTGCATTCCTTGAATTATCATCTATAGAAGAGTTACCATATGGACAATGATAGGGCAAGCTTTCCTGCTGCTGTTAGATTAGAAAACCCTTGAGGTCCCTTCCAGCCATGTAATACTGTGATTCATCAATTTTTACTGGAGGTCAATTGTTGTTAGTAGTCTCCACGGACATTTGTATTTAACTTTTCTGATAAAACTAGCAAAATATGGTAAAATACTCACCTGAGTTCCGGGGTCCAATTTAAATTAAACCACTGTTCCTTCCACTTTCACTGGAAAATCCAGTCCCTCTCATTAATTTTGCTTGATTCAATCATATCTATATAAAATCCTTTCAGTATCCTTTCAAATGTATGCATAAGGTTTTGTGTTTAGCATCTTCAGTACTGGGCAAAATGTTTCTTCTTGTTACAGGTAAAACAGAGCTTGCCAAATTCAGCCCAGTTTTGGGGCCATGCTGCCTTCCATACATGGTACGCGTCTACTTCTCTGCTCTCTCTGTCCTTGCAATCTCCTTAGCAGTGATAAATTCCACCCTGTGAGGTGTTTTTTTTTTCTGGCCACATTCTTTCATGCCTGCTACATGGATGACAACTTTGGTTGTGTCCAGACGAGCGTGGCCATGTGGTATGTGGTGCCGCAGAGACCTCTGTGGCGCCACATACTGCAGGTTCAGTTATTCTCCACACTGCAAGGGAGCAGCATGGAGGTTTTTTTTGACCCCTGGATATTCAAAGGTCAAAAAACCCATGGAGAAAAGCAGAGCGGTGCACGCACAGACAGCATGCGCTGCTCAAAAGTGGAACTGGGCTGCCCAGAGCAATGCTGCAGCTGCCGGCCAGGCTCTGCACAGCAGAATTGCCACTGCTGCAATCCCAGGAGGTCCCCAGGACTGCAGGTAAGGCTGCTGGGGCCAGCCCGGTGTTGGCCCCAGCCTCCCTTACCCCACCCAGGGTAATTTGCCACATGCCAGAGCGTGCGTGGCATGGGCGGTCCTTGGAGACAACTAGCAGCGGCACAAGGTGCACTGCCCTAGTTGTCCCTAGAGAACCAAACATCCACACCGTGCATGAACGCAGCCTTTGGGTGCATTCAGTTCTGCAGCATAGGCCTTCATAGTTTCTGGTGCCCTACACATTTGGATAGTCTTTTCTGGGGACAGGTGTTCCTCACACAGTAGCCTTTCTTGTAATGCAGTGCCTACCATGCCTCAAATAATTCTGGTTTTAATCAGAGATT